TCTGTCGGTCTGTGTGTGCGTGCGAGTATCTCAAGTTCTGCTGAACCGATTTTGATGAAATTTTATATGTAAGTTTATTTCCACCATGGCACGGATTGATCAACTTTTGGGATATATCAGGCCTCGAGAACCGCACTTTTCAGCGGGCCTGTTTTACATTTTTGAATATTTTGAAGAAAATATTCAACCGATTTACTTGAAATTTCATATACAAGCTCAGCTCGATCGTCCGCGAAACCTCCTAACTTTTGGAAGAAATCAGGTGCCAGCAACTGGAAGTTTACTACGAGTGAAATGTACATTTTTGCGTATATAAAGAGAAATAACCAACCGATTTCATTGAAATTTAATATTTAAATTCTTCGTATTAAAACAATTAACATACAATTTTTTTGATTTTGGAAAAATCAAACAGATTTTGGAAAAATCAGGGCTTGAAAACAGATCTGCGGGCCGATTTTACATTTTTCACCATATCTACCGAACGAATCTATGGAATTTCTTGAAATTTGATATTTGAGTTCTGGTTGGTACCAAAACTAACTGGCGAGCATTTCAGTGAATTCGGGTAGCACAAAGCGAAACTCTACTAAGGGCCAAATTTACATTTTTCTAGGTATGTTAACTATAAGCTTACTAATACCCAAAAAATTGGAAAAAGTTTTTAACAGGCATTTTTATAATATTCTGCAACACTTTCACTTGACTAGGCAACACACATTGCGATCGGTAATGTGCTGACCACATTAGATTTTTTTATTTTATTTTATTTAAATTTTTTGTTTTGTTTTTTTATTATATAACAGATAAATATTGTTATAAAAGTTTAAGAAAAATTTTCAAAAATATATTGTCATAATAGTTTTGGAAAAATTCGCAAAAACTTGAAGTACATAAGTACACACAGAAGCATGTATCTATATTTTTTTAAAGCTTCCTATATGAATTGAATAATATTCAAAACTGTGACTAAACCTGTAGGAATAAATTTTAAACACATAATTATAGAATCATTGGGCTAATAGAGAAATCAATTTTTCAAATAAAGAAAAAGTTTAGGCACAAACAAAATATTAATTTTATTCAAATATGTGGGTGTGCATATGTATGTATTAGAACTGAACATTTTAAAATCTTTCGTTCGAATAATAAGAAATGAATTTTTAAATACATACATACATAATTATGAATGTATTCCTATTTTGGTAAAGCTTCTAACGAAACAAAATGTTCAAAACTCTTTGTTTTTTACCAAACAACTTACATAGTTCACCAACAAACAAATTTTATTGGTAAACTATGATTAACAAAATAATAATTTTATTCAAATATATGTATGTACCAATTCGTTCAACGAAGCAAAATGTACAATTTGAAATTTTTTTGCATATGAATTCGTACAAATTTTTCTTAATTTTCTTTTTTTTACAAAATTGGTTATTTATCATTAATTCTCACACTCCTATTCGTACAGTTACATAAAGGTACCAAAATTCTTGGAAATAAATTTTGCAATGTTTGTAATTGTTAATAATTTTTCTTAGTTTCGGTCAATAATTAAAGAAAATATCACTTTTATTTAAACTATGGACAGGAAATCTAAAGAAACTTCAACAAAGCTACGGAAATTTATCGTAGCTTTCTATAAAAATGGCAAATCGCTTTCAGAGATTAGGGTTCTAATCAGAAAGTAGCCTATGCAGCATCGATGTGTAATCATGTAAAAATCCCGTACAAAAATGCATCAATACAGTAATACTTTAAAGTTTGGTGCCTAAAAGTTGCGCATCATATTAAATCAGGTTTGCATGAACTTTTGTGTACATCAGCTGAGAAGCAAATAATTTATTATTTTAACTTAATAACTCATAAAATTATTTATTTCTTTATGCACGGTATTAATATTTTTAAATGTTCCATTATAACAAAATCTCCAAAAATTAATTGAATTTAAAAAAAATTTTTTAATAGATTTTCTGTTGTTAATAATGCCAGTATTTTTACACAAAACATTTTCAAAGTAAACGCTAAAAAACATATTATTTAGAAAGTGTCCAAAAAGGCAAAATAATATTGCATCAGTAAGGTAAACCGGTAAACGCATTACATCGGTATAGCATCAGTAACATTTTTTTGCATCGACGCTTCATTGATGCACATTTTCTATTTCTTTCCGATTATACCCTAGTACTTTAAAGGAAAGGAGTCGTTTTACAATTCTGTGTATTATAAATGGTTGTACCGATGAAAATAGAATACAAAATAAGCCACGAAATTTAAATAGAAAGCTATTAAGGATTAATAGCTAAAACGCATGATTCTCTGAAAAATTAAAAATAACCTAAAAGCAAGTGCTCCTAAGCTAGTAGACATAGTAAAGACTTAACTTGCAAAATGTAAGGACAGAAACAGTTCGATGGACTATTAGAAAGCATGGTTACAATGGTAGAGTGGTTACAATGGTTACGTAATTTTTACCAACGAAAGTAAATTTAATGTTTTTGATTCTAATGGCAGACAAATTATTTAGAGAAAACCTAATTGTAAAACATGGTGGAGATTCAGTGATGGTGTGAGGGTGTCAACACCTGGAAGAGGAAATTTAGCTATAATAGAAGGTTATTATGAACCAAGATAAATATATTGATATCTTAAAGATAAATTTAAAAGAAAGTGCTGAGCGCTCGGGAATCCGAGAAAGTTTCAGATTTTATTTAGATAATGATCCCAAGCACAGTATAAAACCCGATCACGGTTACTTTATAATTTTCCGAAAGTTGTACAGACACCTCCCCAATCTGTGGATATTGACCCGATTGAAAATTTATGGCAAGAATTAGACAACCAAGTTCGAAAACATTAAATAACGAGTGTAAACGTGTTAAAAACCAAATTAGTGTAAGAATGGGCTCAAACATCACGAAAAAACTTGTTGAATCAATGCCAAACCGATTAGAAAAAGATGTAATTCGCAATAAGCACTTTGCAAAAAAGTAGTAGTCTTAAGATTAGATTAAGTTTTTGCTTTTAATAATATAATTAATGTAATGCTGTACCAATACAACTGTGACATGAATTTGTTCAATGAATTTTTAAAAATATTTTTTTTTTAACAATTTTGTTTGTTAAATATAATTTAATTTTTATTTTTGTTTACTACTATTGTTATGTAATAAAACTTGAATGAAATATTTACATTTTCTGTTTTAGTAAATAGCATTAAAGTACGATTGCTGTACGAATACAAGTGGGAGCCTCTGTATGTATTAGAACTGAACATTTTAAAATTTTTCGTTCGAACAATAAGAAATGAATTTTTAATACATACATATGTACTTATATAATTATGAATTTTCATTTATTTCAAAGCTCCTAACGAAACATAATATTCAAAACTGTTGGTAAACATATAAATAAACATAATAATAATTCTATTTATATATATGTATGTATACATATGTATGTATTAGAATTGAAAATTTTAAATTTTTACGCTCAAACAATAAGAAATGAAATTTTAAGTACATTCATATATAATTATTAATATATGCACTGCCCTAGTAAGAGTAAGGCCACCGCGTAGAGAGAGCGACTCTCATTTTCCTTTTATGATTTATGAAAAAAAGTGTATTGTTTATATGAAGGAAAAAAATTTTCGCCGTGCTTTGCATCTGAAAATATTCAAAAAGATTTTTATATAAATAAGTTTTGGAGTTTTATTTTGATATTTACAAGAAAAAAGACGAAAAAGAGGAAATTTTCCATTTAAAATAAATTTTATTAAAAATATATTTTCTAAAATTTATAGAAATACAATCAATACAAAACTTCCTCATTGCCATTTAAAAGGATTCTGAGTTAAATTACGATTCGTGATATTGAAGAAAATATTGGGTACTTTAAATAATCAATGCTAACTTAGAATTAATATAAAATTTTCGACAAATCAAAATTTAGAAATCTTCCAAAATAGGACGTTTGATGAAAAAAGTACGTTCAAAAATCATACCATTTCTAAAGCATTGTTAAGTTTATATGCCACAAAAATATTTGAGGTTTGAAAAAAATCATAGCATTGAAATAATAATTTGTTGTTATTGGTAACTTTTTTGTATATTTTGTAAAGATAAGCTATAAAATTATGCAAGAAAATATTTTTAAGATTTCAAGTAAAGGTTTCAGACAAGAATATGTATGCAATTGCGAGAGACCGAAGACCGATTTTTTTGTATTTAAAGTACATTTACAATTTTTCATTTAAATGTTTTCAAATATATTATACATACTTTAAATAAAACACACATGTCACTTTTCTCGTATGATACACTGGAAAAGTTATATTTTTTGCATTGTGAAATATTTTCCTTGTTTTAGCCGAAAGGTAAAATATGTCTCTTATTTCAAATATTTACGTTATAGTTTCTATTAAACATTTTAATTTTACATAATATAATGTTCTAAAAGTGCTAAAAAGAGTTATGCTGCATGCTTGCAGAGTTATGCTGCATGTCTAAATGTTCCATCTCTACAATCAACAAAGCTACAAATGAAAATAGTACATTCGCATTTACATGTACATTGTATAAAAATTAATGCAATTTTTATTTTTTTCGTTTTATTCCCCAGATCGTGCACTTAAACGGAATTTTTATATACAGATTGCATTATACCGTTTATTCATATTGTATAGCAATAACTCGAACCAATGACACATATCTGACCCGGCAGTCGCATCTCTATATAGTTTCCAAATTTCATGAATCTACCTTTATTTTTCCAAGGATATTATGTCACCTATGATGGCAGCTACCCAAACACGTTGTTGTGAAATTTTGGTGTCGATTGTATTATTCGTTTTGAGTTATCGTGCGCAACAAACATATGTACATAATGTATTAAGCTAGACCTGCTTTAACTGTGCAAATTGCTTAGCAATCAAATGCATACTTACATATACATATTTACAACGTAAGCATAATTGAATACGTATATCTACTTACAAAAGATCAAAATTAGGAAACTTTATTCCTTTTATTTATATTTTTCCGCTTCCTAATATTTTTTTAAATTTTATTAGTTACAATATAATAATAATTTCCATAAGCAATAGAAATCTATAATAATAAAAAATTTTTCAACATTATTAATATGAATTTACATAAGTACACATACTTGAATATCACTATTTTTAAGGGGTGGGTGCTTTTTCAAACTTATAGCTAGCGTTTACATAGGCTTGTACATAGGCTCATTTTGATTAGCACTTACATAGTTTCAAGTGCTAACCAAAATGAACATGTCAATAAGACGTTCAAACTTATCGAAGGCGTATGTTTTGACAAATTGGATGTAATTTTGTCATACTGACGAAATTATTTTGACCAAACATGGCGTGCCAATAAATTGATTAATATTTTAGATCAGCTGATGCAAAATGAATCATCATATAAAATGACAATTGAAAACCTAACGAACTTATTTACTATTTTGAAAAGTTAATTTTAGTTGATCACTTATTTCTTTGACTTAATATTTTGAATGCCAACGTGTTCATTTGGATACGACTTTAGATAGGAAAATTACAACACATACACAAATTTTGCTACTTTTACTAAAGAAACATATACTAGTTTACAGATATAAGAAAAAACAGATGCACAAAAATTAAAAACTAAAAAACTAAATTCAAAACCGAAAGTTACCTTTTATCTAACAATATACATTGTATTTGTGTATGTATGTATGTATTTGGTAAATCAAACTTTGTAACCTTGTATTCTTTGGCCATTGTTACCTCCTATATTTCTCCCTTTTTACAAATTACAAATTTTTTTCAAATTACAAAATTTTCAGTATTCTCTTTGAATGTAAATATGTAAATAAACATTATAATTCTTTTTTTAATTCATAATATTAATTTTTAAGATTAATTTTAGAAATTAGTGAATATGTGAAAAAAAAGAAACTATCGCTTTTAAAACACACCGTATCGTGACAACTGAAATAATATTTCTCTGAAGGTAATGTTACTTAAACTGTCAAAATATTTATTTTTTAAGTTAAAGGGGTCAAGGTTTGCACATCGTCCAAATGCTTGATACAAAATAAATCGAAAATTAAATCCATAAACTCAAATATTTCCAGTTCACTGAAATATAAATTTAAAGTTTTTACTTTTTTTAGAGTAATAACAAAATTTAAAAACAAAAGTTATTCTAAGAAATTCTGTCAATCCGACATTATTTTTTTTAGGTTGAATGTTCCTATAATCTGGGAAACCTTTGGATGAGGCAAAGTTATATAGACCGATTTCTCTATTACCAGTGATATCAAAAATTTTGTTGTTAATAAGGAAAATTGTTAATAGAAAATTTTTTCTTAGAAAAAGTTTGATGCCGATAAAAGAATAGAAGAAACTGATTTCAAACCATCTGTCTGGTTTTAGAACAAAGCAGTGACCTAGCACACAGAAAAACAAATATTCTAAAAAAGTCGTTAGAAAAGAAGTAAATGTGTACAAGAATATTTCTGAGATGGTGTGCCTCAAAGCAGTATTCTGGATCCTATATTATACGTACTTTATACAAGCGATTTGCCAGATTTATGGGGTGTAATTTTGACTACATTTGCGAACGATACAGCAATATTGGCAGTGGGATCAAATGTAGAAGAATCGACAAAAAATTATCAGATGTATCTATATTCGGTTTATCTAAGATACACCCAGCACATTCTAAATGGCTTGTTGCTGAATTATCTCCCTAATTTAACAATGATTCAATATAAGTTCTATAATGGTATTTTCCATCTGACGGAGTAATATTTCTAACATTGAATTGTACTCTGCACTGCTTAATTATAGAATGTAATAGATTATCAATTACACTGGGTTGTTGAAGTATTTTTCCATCTTCACTCCTGTCATGAGGCCACGGTGTTCCATTTTTTTTTTAAATTTTAACTTTTAGTTTTAGATATGTTGAAGATAAAACCCTGTATGTATGACCTAATGAAAAGATAAGTGCCTGTATGTATGACCTAATGAAAATTTTAGGTTTTAATCAAATATATCTCGTTTTTGAATTTTTTTTCTGCTTACTCTTAGCTTTGCGTTTCTTTTGATTGGAATGAGTTAATGTAGTTGAGGGACTTCTTTTTATAGCTCCTCTTCTTCGTATACCGCTTCTACATATTTCATTTAGTTTGTTTACAATTCGACGTCTTATATTTTTAATGTCTTTTTCCCTCTGTCTTTCGATACTTCTTTTGGATCTTCTTTAGAATAATATTAGATAACGCATTAACGCCCGTGTCTAAGGATTCTTTTTATACTAAGTTTAAACCAGATTATATGAGTGGTTTTAAATATTTAAACAATCCCTCAAAGATACTTCCCAGTCCGCGATCTCTTTGATATTGTACATTTAACTGCACTAAAGGTCCGATTTCATCAATACCCCTCCCACTTTGTTCTAAAGAATACTTGTGATATGAATGGTTCATCGTCTAAGAATAAATAACATTAGCTTGTTGACTTACTCATATCTTTTAGAGTGCAACACAATTTTTGTTGGCATGTTACTTCTCGAAAAAGTTAAATTATACCCATATTTGTCACATAGTAACATTGAAATGCTTTCAAAACTGTATTTTTCAATATTACAATACTGAACTTGATCAAATTGTAATACAAGATTTGCAAATGGATTTGTTGTATTAATAGTTCCCATACATACATATCCATATCTGTATACACAAACATTGTTTGTATTTCAGCCGAAGGCCTTTTAGTACACAATTTTATGTATTCTGTATGTGTGGTATCGATGTTAAATTTGTTATCCAAAACATAATTAGCGCCATTTGAAATAAAAGTGAATATTTCTTATATTAATTGTTGTTCACCTTCTTGTTTGATTTGGAGAAATATTCTCAAACAGCGTGGATAATAAAAGCGTTTTCCGGATAATATATAATTGATGCTTCACTCAACAGCATTATGTGAAAATTATCATCATTATGTTCTATTTGAGACGTGTCCGTTGTTGCGTAGATACACTAGAGACAGACTTTGCTTTTGTTTTTTTACGAACAGGAAAACTTAGTGGTAATTGTTTATCATCTTCTCTTGTAGATGATCGAAGCACTTGTTTTAAAGGTGTTTTTAGAACATTAATAAGAGCACTTGTGATATCGCCTGAATCAATTTCAAATATTCGTATATTTGCTATATTTATGGATTTCCTTGGCTTTAAGCTTGCTTCTTCTGAAGTGCTCTGCTATCATCAAAAATGAAAATATATAAGTATATCATTAAAAATATCATATCTTACCTCATCTAAAGGTACTATACTCAAATATTCTATAAGATCAATTTCTAAAAACTCCTTTTCAGGAGATAAATTGGTTTGTACATCAATATCAATCTTTATAACTAGGTCTGTTTATAAACTATATACTTTTAGATTATATCATATTATATTGTTTGTTAATGGATTCATTGGGCTTTTTTTGCATATCTTCACACAAAGTTTTAATCACCTCGGAGTCTTAATTTCTTATTAAAATATTCCGAAGTTTTGTTCAAGACTTTTCTAATGGATGCAGTACATACTAGTTTGCTAGTAAACGTTTCAGTTCTGACTCGAAATAAATCGTTTATACCATGCGTCAGGTTTAAGATAATATAGCTATTAGCTCTGACGTTGTCTCATTATATACTTTTTGAAATTCTTTAATATTTTCTGATACTATTTGCCGGGTCAAAAGTAAAATTTATGATTTATGTTGTGGATTTTTAAATAAAAGCAACTATTTTGCATTCAAAAATATATCTCTACAGAATTTTTTCTGATGAAAAAGATTTTACGATACCAGAAAGTTGATAAGATCCTTTAGAATAAACTCACAAACTTTCATATCTTTGACATCAATCATTAAATCATCCAAAATAATCAATGTTCGAATGATAGCAATTATCATTACTTAAATTTTCAATAATTTCATTAAAACATTCAATTTGCGTGAAATTTAAGTTTTTCGACATTGCGTTATGTTCTGGATTAGCGTTTCCTTTTAGCGTTGTGTATACAATAGGTAAGTTATGTGATGGCAATAAATTTTGCATATCGAGTTTTAGGCGGGAAGGCACTTCTACATAGTAGGGAAGTGTAAATAAACTATTTTTAGCAACCTGTCGGTGTGTGTGCACGCGTGTATCTCAAATTCGGCTGAACCGATTTTGATGAAATTTTATGTGTAAGTTTATTTCGACTATGTTTTATGTGTAAGTTTTTTTCGACTAACTTTTGGGATATATCAGGCCTCGGGAACTGCACTTTTTAGCGAGCCTGTTTTAATTTTTGATCATTTTAAAGAAAATATTCAACAGATTTACTTTAAATTTTATATATGTATAGGCTTCGCTCGATCGTCCGCGATCAAATATACATTTTTGCGTATATAAAGAGAAATAATCAACCGATTTCATTGAAATTTAATATTTAAATTCTTCGTTTGGGGGACAAAAATTGGCATGGGCCCTAGTCAGTCTTACATTTTCCTAACATGTGAGGCTGAAAATGCTAGGAAATGCCCTCTGAAAACATCAGCTCTGCCAACAAATCCGACTCTCACCTCCTAGAAGGTAGGTAACATAGTTATCTGCCGGGTGTCTCCTGGGCAACTTACTTAGTAAGGCTGACAGAGCGGGTGAAAGCGAGTACTCGGCGCTTAATCCGGGTTTCGTTGGTTAGGAGACGCGCGGGCGGTAAATCCAGAAGCGTCTGACCTAGAATAGGCGGCTCCCTGGTCTGCGTCTGATCCCTGAGGGACGGCAGTTTTTGAATCCTGGCAGTAGGTATAAAATGCAGAATTTAATCATATGTGCAATGGACAAAACAAAAGGATTCAGTACCCCAGGGGGTAATTCAACTACGTTGGAGAATCCACCCTCTTCGGAGGTCGGCTCTACGGATTCTGGGGAGAGCCATTTATTGCATTTGTTTGATCCGTTCAGGAGGAACGCGAAAACCCGGCGTTCACCACCTACATCTGATGTGCGGATGTTAGAAAAGAATAGAAATATAGAAGGTGGACTATCGAACATTCAAGCTCCACAGACCAATAAGGATACAAACATGAGTAAAGCTCAAGACAAAGAAAGTGATGA